TGTTCCCTGAAACGTTTATTAGTCCAGAACGCTTTGAAAAATTTAGAACAGTTTAACTCTCCATATACAGATTAAGTTTTAACAGGACATAGCGTTCTTCTTCTCTCCCAAACCTATGAAAAGACTGAAGGAATTAAGTGTTTTGTTTTACTATATAATTAACTAATACTTAATTGGTATATAAATAGCATTATTTCAGCCAACTTAAATTTGACAAGGATGAGTTAGACAATCCTACTATACTTCATTTATAGTTTATATGCTTAATGAATACCACTATTCCTTTCTAAACCTTCCCAGCCTTGCAAGGATCTAATCTTATTTTGAAGGAAAGGTTACAAGACAGTATTTAATGACTTTTTGAAAATAATATAAATAAGAACAATATAGTTAAATCCAAAGCGAAATTGACTTTTTTTTTTCCAAGAGCTTGCCTCTATTTTCTTAAAAACAGAACACATACTTTTTAAATGATGCACTGCCAGCAGAATCAATAATCCACCCCAGCATGAGCAAAAAGCACCTGCCTTTGTTAACCCTCTTCCTGTTCCCCTGCAGTGTCTGATGGCTCCTCTGCACTTGCACAGAGCTGACCCAGTGTAACCCACAGGGAAAGACAGGCTAGAGTCAGCACTCAGCTAAAAGCAGCTTCTCACACTCTAAGAGGACGTGACCCAGACTCGGAGGACTGCATCAGGAAGAGCATCCACAGCCTCCAGCTTCTCCATAAACTTCAGGACCTGCTTTCACACTCGTGTCGCTTCTCTTTATTAACGCTCTCATAAATACTCTGATCATTTCTGGAATACAGAAACTTCAAACACCTCAGAAGGCTAAAATCTGCCTTCCTATCAAAAAAGTAATAAACTGAAGGCCTGCTCATTTATTATTGGTTATTAATGCCCCACCTATCCAAATAGCACAACTGCTGAAACACAACAGGCTCCTCTAACTGTATTTCTTTTTCTGATAAAACATCTTATTTGAAACAAAGTTTGTATTTAATTCAATTAATTTTTAAAAAATATTTAAAAAGGAGACTGCCTAAGAAAAGCTGCTACCTGATTCTGTAAAAGATGACCTTTTTTTGTCTAATAAAATTTCTGCTATATTCTATCTGTGGTTTATCTCACTACCTGTTTTCACACCTGTTTCTATGGTTGTGTGTACTCTGCATACAGTAACTGATACGAGCTGAGGAAAACTGGGGAGGTAAAAAGACACCCATATAGCATTTTATTCTCCACCTGTATTTTGTCACAACTGTAAGAGAGAATCAACACTTTTGAGAATTCACGGATCTGCCAAACGTCCCTTGTTCACCACATTTTCTGCCCCAGCAAATAACCAACAGTAGTTACACGTCACCATATTAATACTGGCTAATGAGATCAGGACAAAACCAGCATAGCAAACCTACAGTGCAAAAAAGCCTCTAAGCCACAAAGTTTGTTTTTAGAATTGTGAACAAATACAGGCTATACCAGCATGCCTGAGCTTCCACTCTAACAAATGGTTTTCATAGCATGAGTATTCCTAAAACTTTACTTCACACCAGGGTTTTCTATATAGCTGCAGTAATTTAAAATGCAATGGGTGGCTATTCTCTAATCAAGATTTACTCCTCTGCACCTCAATTCTTAAAATTCTCAATACTCTATGAAAGCTTAAAAATGTACACTGTCAGGCCACCTCAAAATTATTATTTATGTTGGGTTTAAACTATAAACTCCCTTTATTAATAGCAAGAAACAAATTGATTTGCTGTGTTGCATATACTTAACTGAATATAAAAATATATATTCCATATTGCAATGTGCCTTCAATTCACTCATGTCATTAGCACTTATGAAACAATTAAGAATTCTTATGATGGGGAAAAAAGATTGCTTTAAGGGAAAAAAAAAAAAGCAAAACAACAAAAACTTACCATTTTGAAGAATTACTTTACACACTACCAAACAGAGCAACAGTTTAATTGGGCAGAACACCGTTGACTACATTATTATGAGAAAACTAATGGGCCTAATTAATTTGCAGGAAAAAAATTAAATTGGAACTACCTAAAACAGAAATAAGTTTTGGATTCCTGGGCCAACATGCAGAAATCTGCAAAGCAAAACAAACAGAAAAGTCATTTCTCAAAAGGTGTACCAGGATCTCACATAGTAAAGACTGGACAATGGTGCACAGGTGAAATGATCAGCGCAGGCCTCACTTCACCTCAGGATGACAAAACAATGCTATTTCCCCCGCTGCAAGCACCATTCCAGCTCTCTAAACATCGTTCACTTCAGGAACTAGCAAGAATTCCTGATTTTCACTCCCTGGAAACTACTGTTCTACAACATTTCTGTGTACCTAGTAAACACAAGGACAAAGCGTACTACGTTTAAGTTCACTATTTGATGAGAAGCAGAAAGCAGCTCTCCTGCAGACAGCCTCAACTCTCTGCCTTTTCCACATGCCAGATGACCTACTTTGGGGGAACAGGGTGTCCAGCGACCAGCACCTCACCCTGGGCTGACTGAACTAACCCCAACCCAGCAGTGCCTGCTTTCAGTTTTCAAACTCCCTCAAACACCTCTAATAAATCCACATCAGCAATCCCCCTTCCTCAGAACACCATGGGAGAGGGGTTTGGGAACACCCACAGCTTGGAAACCATCAGTCCCTAAATACAAACAGAAAATATTTTTTTTTAGAACCTATGCTTTACATTCAAAGATGCCTTGGTTTTGATTTTCTGCAAGTAAATTCATACAGCACCTGTCTCCATGAGTCTAGAAGCAGCTTTTATGTTCAAGGAGCATGAAAAACGCAGATACTCTGGGTAGTTTTGCTGCTGCTCAAGACTGATGACCAGCAAACAGAGCTATCTGGGTATCACTTTTCGAGTCGTTACTGTTATAGTTTCTACCGAGGAAAGCCATGAGCACTGCAAAGGATTAACATACCAACAGCAACACAAGGCACAAAAAAAAAAAAAACCCACAAAAAAAAAAAAAAAAAAACCAAAAAAAAAAAACAAAGGCTGGAAAAGAAGCAGACACTGCTGACCTTGTCCCTCTTCTTTAGCTAACAGAAGATGTGAGGTGACACGGAAGAGAGAAAACACCTTTCCTTAAGCTTTCAGACAGCTAGCCAGGAAAATAGAGAAGAAAAGAGAGGAAGGGGAGGTAAGTTCCATTTCTGTCATGCAACAAGGCAAAGGCTGAAGTTCTGAATTTATCATATGTTCAGCAGCCAAGACGTAGTAAAAAGGATGATTCAGACTATCACGGGCTAACTCTGTTAGTTTTGGAAAAATATTGCAAAAGAGATTTTGTGTATAATTTTTTTTTCACAAAAGTAATCGGAAATGTAATCTGGTAGAAGCAGGAGGCAAATGCAACAGCTAATGTTGCAATGATAGAACAACAGCAATAAGAGCTAACATTATAATGAATCTGTATCTGTTTCATGGCCTATATAAAAATATTTGCTAATTACAGCCTTGATCTTCATGGTACAGGTGCCTTCTACTGCTACATTTATTCACTGTTCCCAAAAGTGACATCTTCTGTCAAAGTCACAAGAAGAAAGTCAGTTACAAAGACAAAGCGATCTGCTTAACTTCTTAAACACACTTGGGTGAGACAGAGGCTTTCGATTTCCAGAGTTGTGAAATCAATATTTCAGAAAAGAGACAACATTACATCAGAAATTATAATCCTACAAATGAAAACATAATACCATTGACATCATCTATGTGGTGCTGACTCCTTCAGATTCCTAAAAAGCAATGGCAAAACAAGTACTTTCAAACAGAAATTCTGCATAATCTCCTACCCAGTGAGTCCTTTCAAATTCCTCCATATTAAGTTACCAGTCCAAACTCCCAATGATACAAACCACGCGTGGTTAGGCCATGAAAATTTGTTTTTACAAAGGCCACTACCACATTTCATGAAAGAGAAGTCTAATTCTCCCACGTTAAGCTGCTAGAACAGCAGCAGTATGTTCCTCAGAAACAAAAAAGCTTCATGGGAGGAAACACTTTTCAAGCTAAAGAATGCTTTAAATTCTTGCCGACTTTCAGTCACCATACAACTTTTAAAACAACAAAAGATTTCTCTTTGTTTTACAAAAACATGATAGTTCCGAGTGAAATACTGAATAGAATTCACGGAATAACCCTGATGCACACAGAGAACCACATTCACTGTTTAAAAACAGTGGAAGATATTAACATAGGAACTAGAGCCGAGAGCCTTCATGATCAGCCAGCTGCAGGTCAGACCTGAACTACAAACCTGAATCCCGATCTGGCAACCTGATCTTAGATAGGCCAAAGTGACTACCCTGCCAGCAAGGGGTAGCTGTTAGCCTGGGCACATTTTTAATTAAAAACAGGGAGAGAAGACTTATAAACTTCAGTAATTTTCTTCCCAAAACACGCAGGGATGCGCTTCACTGAACACTCATTACGTGAGACGTAATTTTACCTTTATGTCCTTTACCTACACTGGCATCGACCGAGGCCACAGCGCACCGCGCTCCTTGAGAAAATCCCCGGCCTCAGCCCTACTGAGGTCGAAAGTCGGTGACGGAAAGAAAAACGAACGGAGCGGCCCGAGGGCGATGTCCCCGCCGCAGCCCGGTGTGCCCGCCCGCCGGTCCCCGTGCGGGGCGGCGGCGCTCCCGCTCCCGCCCGGGAAACTTTCGGGTTGCGCCGCTCTCCGGCCGGGAGGCGCTGCCCGCCTTCCCCCGGCGCTGCCCCGCGGCCGCCGGATACGCCGCCTCCATTCACCGGAGCCCCGCGAGGGGTGCGGGGGGGTGGCGTCCCGGCCCGGCGCTGCCCCCCGGCCGGGCGGCACAAAGCAGCGGCTGTCACACGCACACGAGCAGCAACTCGGGAGGATGAGGAGGAGCCGCCCCCGAGCCCCCCCCGCAACTGGACGTGGCACAACGAACACTCCTCCCGCTCCGGGCCCCCCGTGCCGCCCCCCGGCAGGTACCGGCCCCCTCCTGCGCGGGGCGGCCGCGGAGCCTCGGCCGCACAGGTGACACCCGCCTTTCCCCCGCTCCCGACGCCCCTTCCCCGCGTCGTCCCCCGCGGCCGCCACAAGTTTGCGGCGGGCCCCAGCCCCCGCCCCGGCCCCATCCCCGTCCCGCCCGCGGCCGCGCTCACCTCTGGCCGGCCGGCGGGTAGCGGAGCGGGGCGGGCGGCGGCGGCGGGGAGGCTCCCAGCCCAGGCGGGCTCCGCTTCTTTGTCTCCTCGGCGGCGGCGCCCGCTCGCTCCCCCTCCGCTTCCCTCTGCCCTTCCCTGGGCGGATGCGGGCCGCGTCCTCCGAGAGGGGCCGGCTGGCTCCCCCCGCTTCCCCTTCCTTCTCCTCCTGCGCTCTTCGCCGGACGCGTCCAAGGCCCCGGCCCTCGGCGGCGGCAACGGCAGCTCCGCTCCCTGCCTTCCCTCTGCCTGCTGCGCCCGGCGGCGGCGGCGGCCCCTCCTCCGCGAACCGCCCCCCCCCGGCACAGGCACAGCCCCCGCCCCCGCCCTGCCCTTCCTGCCGCTGCCGCTGCCGGGATCGCGCGGGAGGAGCTCTCCGGGCTCCCCTCGCCCGCCGGGAGGGCCGCTGCTCCCCCGCCCCAGCGCAGGAAGGACGGCCAGGGACAGCCTGGGTGGCTCCCTCCCCTCTGCGGGAGGACCGCTCCGGGACCGCGGGGCGGGGCAAAGGGGGCCCTGCCCGGCAGGAGCGCCCTGACGCCTCCTTCCCGTTCCATCCCCGTGAGACCCGGCGCTCCCGGAGAAGCTGCCCTGCTGGGAGCCAAAGCGCCCGGGAAAAGTACTGGCGAATGCTGAAAGACCCGGGGATGGGGGGGACGCGCGCTGTTCGGGGCCGGGCCGGGGGAAGTGCCCCGGAGCGGGGAGGGGTGCGCCGGGATTCGCCCTGGGGCTGCCACGGGCCGGGACTGCGGGGCCGCTGCCGCCGGGGAATTTCCAGCCGCGGTATCGGGGCGCTTCCGCCGCCGCCCATAAGCCGCGGGGCGGCCGCAGCCGTAGCTCTTCCCGGCCCTTCTTTTCCTGCCGGCCCGGGGCGAAGTTTCAGCCTCAGCGCCCCGTGTATCGGCCCGGTCGGGCGGTGACTGGTAGGTGTTGTGCCCTCGGCAGAGGATGGTGGGCATGGCAGCCACCCCAAGCTGCAGAAACAGAATATCCTGTGTTGGATGAGACCCAGAAGGTTCATCGAGTCCAACTCTTTTCCAAGCACAGGACACTCCAAGAATTCCACCATGTGCTGAGAGCGTCGTCCAAGTGCTTCTTGAACCCTGTCAGGCTTGGTGCTGTGACCACTTCCCTGGGTCACCTGTTCTAGTGCCCACCCACCCTATGAAGAACCTTGTTCTAATGTCCAACCTAAACCTCCCCTGGCACACTTCAGGCTGGTCCCTGGGATAAGCCAGCTCCAAAACAGAGCCCCGTGGCTGGGTGTATGTCCAGCCCATGCCAGCTGCTGTGCCCCTCCACTCACGGGAAAGACCTCCACAAGTGGTTAAAGGCAGAGGAGAGAAACCCCCCATGGTGGCCCTGATCTCCAGTGGGAATAGCCAACCTGCCAGCCCCAGTGCTTTCCCCCTGGCACGCTTCCCCCAGTAGTGTCCCTGGGCTGTGGGGAAAGATCATCCCTCAAGATGGGCAGGGAGCAAGGGGGAAGCCACTCAAAAATATTGCAAACCCTTTACAACATGGCAGCTTTGAGGGAGAGGAGACTGGAGTGTTAGGTACTGGCTCTGGAACCATACCTCCAGCATTTCCTGGCTTGGGAGGCAAGGCTAGGCAACACTACTCTTTCTGAATCCAAATTAAAGTCAGCAGCCCTGCTGTCTTGTTTTCTGTGACCAAGCTTAATATAGTAGTGAGATCTTGGGACAAAGATTTTAGAAGCTTGAAATATGATGATTTAAAAATGTGTGCTCTGCAATCTTTCCGTGCTCCTGCTTAAAATGGTTTAGAAATCCTCAAATAACTCGCTCTTCCCCTTGTTAACTTTTACAAATTCTCACAGCACTGAATTGATGGTTTCCAAGTGCCTTTCACATGCCTGTGAGATAAACCTGAAAGGAAAATGTGGCCACTTCTTTCTTCCAATAAAGACTTTGCATGCACCTCAGGGAGGAACAGAAATCCCCTTTCCTAGGTTTTTGTGCATGCATTTCATTTCAGTTCAGAGAGGTGTTAATCTTCCTTTTGAAACAATAATCTGACCGTGCTTTTTTAGAGCTGGAAAATATTTGGGGTCCCTGCTGGCTCCACCTCACAGCATGGTCAGGCCTCACTCCAGCCTGCAGAGGCTTGGGCTGAATTTAAATGGGATCGGTCATCCAAGGACTTTCAGATAAAAGTCTCTGTTGTTTCTAGAACAAAATGCACTGTGGGATTGATAAAAGACATGTGAATTATCCCTTCTCTCCTGTGCATTTATAGTACACAGTTAGGTTTCACTCTCGGTTTTGTCCCTTCTTACCACACCCTTGCTAATGCCATCCTACAATAAGTGCTCAGCTTTGTTCTTTTCCCTATAGCACTGTTGAGTTGAGGATGTCCTAGGCAGGGTGGCATGAACCTTACAAAGTTTCCAGGCTAAGTTAGACTTCCAGAAGGAACCATAAGCTGCTGAATGAGTGGTAGCTCTCAAAGCTTTCCAGGTATCTGAAAAAAAATTATAAAACACACCTAACTTTAGCAGATTAATGCTAATAGGATTTACAGAATAAGAATGTTTTAGGGAGGGATTTAGATGAATACATTGTCTTGAGGCAAAGGACTAATTTAAGCACTCTGAAGCATACTGTTGTTAAATATACTTAATTACATTAAGAAGTGATCTATTAAAGCTGGGTTTTTTTTTTCAAAATGTGGCTTATGATGAACAGAAGACGCTGTAGAAAGTGTTTGCAAGGGTTTGTTGAAGGATGTTTTAACTGCCTATTTGCTGAATGAATCCTTAGGTTTCTCTGCAAAAACAACCAAGATGTTGCCCTGTGTAGTATTTCAAAACATTGAGCCTACTGAAATATTAATGTATGCCTTTTAAAATGTCATAATTAGCTGTTATCTCTGAAATAACTGTTATTAAGAAGAGCTGGCTGCTTGTGATTTGAGTGAGAATTACATTCTAAATATGAGAAGATGATACATTTGGGGGAATATGCACAGAAGTGAAAGCAGTACATGATGTGGCAGGCACACTTTTGTATAAAGAAAGTAAATATGTAAAGCATGCACTTTTGCATATGCATAAGAGTGGTGCTGTCCTTAGAAAATGTATACACCGGAGAGAAGAGCATAAATATTTTTCCCAGCCTGAGGGCATAACTACATACTAAAAAAAAAAAAAAAAGATGGGTAAGTAATAGAAATATGTATCTATGTCTTTGGCAAAAAAACAGCATGCCTCATACTGCTGCTTCAGGCAGGGCTACATGCAAACCCTAGACTTAGAGGTTGTGTGATAGACCTGTTTTGCAGTTACATAATGGTAGCCAATTCATCTTGATGTTCATGTTTTGCACAAGAGGCTAAAAAAAAACAAACAATGGTGTGTCTTTTGGCTTATAGTTCTTAATTTTTTTTCTACCTTTCTTTTTTCATGACTACCCATTTTCTGTCTCCTGTGTGCTGCTGCTTGTGCTTTCCCACTGGCCTGGCAGAGCAGTGGCTTCCACAGGATGGACACGTGAATGTATGGATCCCAGCCATGAAGATCCAAACCACACTAATATATTTACACACATAGTGGCAGGAGACAACAACCACCTCCCAGATGTGGCTCCTTCTGCACAAATACCTGATCTTTTCTCCACATGCATCAGGTTTTCTCACCAGCCGCTCCATCTAGAGTATGAGGTAATACCTACTCCCATAGGGAGACATTTTAGCAGGGATGTGAGACAGAGGGACTGGTAAGTTGAAAATCTGGAAAAAAACATTGTCCAGTTCAGAGGTGGACAGTAAATTTGTTTGGTCACTCTGTGTTAGTCCATTGGGGTGAAAATATACCTAATCTAAGTTAATATAGGTTGCACTCCATTATTTGAGAAGTCTTTCCAAAACATATTTTATTCTATGATTCTGTGATTAACCTCTTTCAAAAGCCCCTACTCCTGATTTTCAAAACTGCCTTTTAAAGATATCAGTAGTCTGATAAACTCCATTTATACACATGGGGTTGTTACTACTGTGTCAGTAACAAATGGAAAGGTGAGAAAACCTTGGGCACTTTGGAGAAGAAAAAAGGGGATTTTTAATTCTCCCTAACCTGGCCAAAAATGCTAATTTTAATAACACAAACAACAATAACAGAAGATAACAGAAAACTTCTGTCAGTGTATTTTCTCTCAAAAAAAAAATCTTGAAGGGTTTACATCACTGCATATTTAGTTTCTGCTTAAACATGTGTTTAATTCCCATGTAGACAAAGGGGAATTACATGACCACTACCAGGGGAGAGTAGATCCCAAATACTCACTTAGTTACTGCTGAGTCACTTAAGTATATTTGCACTATGATTCTAATTCAGCCTGACGGTAAGGCAGCTGCTTTTCTCACTTACTACATGGCTGCTGCATCTTCAATGACATTTATGAAAAACGTTGAGGGGAAGAACGTGTCCTTAGAGCTCACAACACATCCAAATTCTTCTATTCAATGGACCAGAGCTCCCCAAAGGTGCTGTAAAACTGCAAGCTAAATCTATCAGCAGATCACATTTAACTATGACAAATTCTATCGTTATCTTTTGTAGACAGTTGCTGAGATTCAAAGTATTTATGTAAGGAAAACAAACTGGTGTTTTGGGCTTTGGAAATGTCAGGGCCCTTGATTCTCCTGTTTATTTAAAAGTGGATGTGTGCTGAGGGACATCTTTTGAACTCTATTCAAAGGTTAAAACTGATCTTTCATACAGTTTTGAAATTCAAAATACTGCTGTTAAATGTTTTGACTCTGCTGTGTAATCTCCGTTTTGCACTTAAATACCAAATTCTGTCTAGTGTTGGCTGCTCTGCTCAGTGCAGAGACACAGGCATTTCATCTTCCAGCCATGAGGTGCAGCCATTTCAAAGGAGGAGCACAACCCCCTGACATGTGCCACAGCTGTGCAACAGTTCAGAGCCAGTGGTGCAGATATAGCATTCCACTGCTATGGTAGGTTATGTCAGCAAAATGGGATTGCCCACATTGGACTTTGCTCAGGGCTGCACGCTGATACTCCCCTCTCATGAGTGAAAAATGTGTAGGGAGAGGCAACAGAAAAGAAACAGAGAAAGTTATCTTACCTGGAGATCCAGTAGGCTGCATTACCAGTCTATGTGTTGTGTAAAGCCAGGGACCAGTGGTTTCTTTGCTTGGGAGGAACATTTTCCAAGTATCTGTAGGTGTTTACTGATGCAGGGAAGCTCATTCCATGGGCCAAGTTCCATGGCAGCTTCCTTGAGGACCCACAGCCATAACCGTGCAGCTTTTGTGTGCCCGGACAGGACTTCTCTGCCCATCCCAGCTGCCCATCACAGCAACCATGGTCTGGTTGGTCTGTGGGTCTGCAGCACAAAAAGTGTCAAAGTGATCTGCTGCAGATCCACAGATGCATTACCTGACCATGTCACCCCAAGAGCCTGGGCAAATGGAGCAGAGGGATGGTGGGACTGAGTTGGGCCAGGAGGTTGAAAAAGCAGCTGCAGGTTGTGAGTGAAGGCAGCACAATAATCCTGTGACATCACGCTGACTCAGGTTTAACTTCCTACTTGGCTCTCTACTAGTGCTACAGCCTTAATTATCAACTTCATATCAAAGGACTGACTTCATCCTTTAGAGGTCTGACTGGTGTCAGTTTCACAAACTGACAATGCTGTAGTTAACTGCAGAGAAGGAAATAAATGCTCCCCATTAGCCTTCCCAATTATTTTCTAATAACTGGTGACTAATCATGGGCCCTGCCTTTGAAAACTATTATGCTAATTATTTTAATTGTTATACAAAATGTATTGTGTCTCTCAGAGCAATGATCCGAAGAAGCATAAGCCTATGCTGAGATGTGCAACCTTCAAAACAATGTTTCAATCCTTCATGACTGCCAGGGAAAGTCTGGAAGCCTGCTCTCTGTGAACTTAGAAACCTGTAGATAAAAGAAAAATCAATGTGCTTTTAAATCAGGATTTTACATTATTTCTATGATTGGTGTTGTGATGGAATTTTTGAATGTTTGAGGTTGACGACTCTGAATTAGGTCAGGCAGTGTAAGTCATTTTCTGCTATTATATGCTGGCATAAATTTTACCTTCATGCAACATTTCCTATTTGAATGGGTAATGCAGACTCTTACCAATCAGTGCACGAGATTTTAGTCTACAGTCTAGACAGATGTACAATCCATGCAGATCAAACATCATTTTACAATGTTCATAGTCTAATCTGATTTTTTTTCTGGTTCAGAAAATACAGAAGTGTAGTCTGTATTTTATTTTTCAATCCAGAATTAAAAGACAAGACCATAAGTAGTGTGATCACTAGATGATTCTCCCTGTATCTGTGTGATCTACAATAATGGGAGGCAAAACACAATGGGCACACAACAATAAACCAAGACTCCAGCTGCCTCTGATGAAAAATTTAAATTGAAGATATTTTTGTGCAGTCAGTTTTTTAAGTTCCTTCTTAATGTTGTGGAGCTTATGATCTCTACACTTAACAAGTGAGGTCATCCTCATTTTCTAATGAGAAATTGATTACAAAAACCTAAATAGATGTGACTTTAAAATCAGAATTTGGGTATACAAGATGATGGACCGCTGTTTCTAACAGAACTGGTACATAATTATTGTGAAATTTGGTGTACTCTGGTATTTTGCTGTCACTCAGCAAATAACCTCAGTCATCGCTGTGGAATTAATTGAATAGTACATCAGTACAATCAATCGCTGCTCAATCTAATTAAAATTACAATTAGCTGGGAGAAAAATAGTGTGAAGAACTTAATATGGTTGAAAGTGAAATTTTCCTGACTCCATCAGTCATAATTGGAATTGCTGAATGATTATACATAACAGAAAAACTGAATACCAGACAGCATTATAAAAATCAGTGGTCAAATACAAATATTACATTAAAAAAATCTGGAAACACTGAATTCTTAAATCAGAGATTAAGAAAATTTTTAACTATACAAAATCATAGCTATGGGTTGTTAACTGAAATAAAGTAAAATTTATTTTAAATATTGATTGCATCACAATTATTTTAAGGAACAAACTTTTTAATAATGACAAAGGACCTATGAAAAAATAGCTTTCAAAATACAATTAGGGCTATCTTGGTTTTGGGTAGGGCTTTTTAAAGCAATCCCTTTTTTAAGCTGCTATTGCAAAGACAGCAACATGGCAATAACAACTGGCTGAGCATATGTAAACTTGGATCTGCATCACTACCATTCTTTTACCTGATCTCTATTACATACAAGAATTGTCTAGAGACAGAAAAAATAATTCAGAAGTCAGTGTTCCTAGTCTGTTTTTCAACTGTCACCCAAGTGCTGTATAGCTTTGGCTTAGTCAGGAAAGATTTAAGAGTTTAGTATTCCTTGGTTTAATACGATTATAGTAATAGTTCACTGGAATGATGGAGAGATGAATAATTTGTAGAGGTAAAGCACAGAGGGCATCCTATACAAGTGGTATATTTTAGCATTACAGCTTGCAGCAGCAAAGTCAGTCCTGATTTAGCTGACAAATCCAGTACCCAACTGAAATATACCAGGTGCTATTTTTTCTTCAACAAATTTTAGGAGGATCAGTTGTGTTTGTAGTTTTGACACTCATTTGCCAAACATCTTTGTCATGCTAACCTAAGTCACTACATGTTTATCTGTAGCCTGTGAACATAGATGGACATGTGCATCAGAGTACTCTGGATAAACACTTGAGTCATTGACACTGGCCAAATACAGGACCAGTTTCTACTCAGCAAGAAATAGTCTATTCCAGACCAAAGGTCTGCATGGTTCCTCAAATCCCAGTGTAAAATATTGCAGTTCTTTCAATGCCAAACCTCTCCTGAGTGGAGATTGCTTGCCATAGCTGTGAATGCATGCCAGACAGGAGGCACAGCGCTGTCCAGCTGCCGTACAAAAAAGTAACAGTCCAATCAACGAGTTATTTGACCCAATACTAGCAATCATGTCTGTTCTAGGTTTGAAATCACCTACACTTTGACTTTCTGTGGAGCTCAACACTGCAGTAACCTGCTCTCATGGGATTTAAAATTTGATGGGTGAGGTCCCTGACTGACAGGGCAAATTGTGTAGGCAAACCTAATCACAGCTAATTTACTTTATGTTGATACTGGTATGTCATGATGTTCCTTTTGCAGATCGCTCAGGAAAAGACCATTTCCTCTGCCCTCACCCTGAAGAACAGTTTAATTTACCTTAGGAGTTTCCCAGCAGACCACAGGGAGCCCTACAAAGGGTCAGAGCTTGAGGTCAATTGCCTTTGCAGCCCCCCTTAAGGGCCCCCACCAGCACAGCTGTAGCTGGCATTCCTCCCCTTGCCAGCTGCTTCAGAGCTCCTGTGAAAGCCTTGGGAGGGAGAAAAGCTCCTCACTGTGGGAGGGTGGGTGGGAAAAATGATAATGGGGAGTGGTTGCATTCTCCTCATTCCTGTCCCAAACCTCCTAGTCATTGGGTCCTCTCCACTGAAATACCCCCGGGAGGGGAATTCCTGGGAAGCATCCAATCCAGAGAGAATGAAATGTGCCTTTATGTTGACATGCTGTTGTTCACGTTGATCTGTTACAAATGCTGTTTTGTGCTGGTCCCCACATTGCTATTTGGCTGTTCAACACATCACCTCACAATGTTATGTATTTTAATTGTATCTTCCCCTAACAGGTGCCTAACACTGCACTGCCTTGTGCTTTAGTGTCAGTAACTTTGAAATTGTTTACGGAAAAGCTCATGGCTCCCACTGATTTCATCTGCTCTTGCAATTTCACTATGAGTCATCCAATATGGTGTGTACTTTGTTTTACTTACAGACCAAACTGCCTGAATTGCATCTTTAGTTAAGTTGTCTCAGCTCCCTTCAGGCAAAAAAGTACAAGCAAATAAAATTTTCTTGCTCTCAGAGCTGTGGAGGCACACTTGAAAATGTTTTTACGTCTTTACTCTTTTTTTACTAGGAGGGAAATAAAAGCATGCCCACCATTGCATTTTTAATGGTGCCTATTTTGGGTCACAAGTTATGTGCACCAGAAGTTGGTAGTTCTGGGTGTTTTCCACCCTTGGGAAAATAGCAGTGTTTTAACCCCTCACAGGTGTTACAGCATAAGCTTGGTGAACGTTCATAAAGTGCTTTGAGAACCACAAAGGTAAAGCATTGAAAGAGCAGGCTGCTTCCTAGGGAGTTGCCTTCAGAAGATGAGGATTCAAGGGACTTGCTGGAGTCTGGAGCTTGATGCTCAGGGGAGTTTGCAGTACTTGACTCCCTGAGCTGTGAGGATGGGCACGGAGTGGTGTGGTGAGAGAGCCTACAGTACCTGAGGCACTATGAGACAGAGAGGAAGGGACTCAATGTCCCAGGCACATGGTGGGATTCTTGTGGTGTCCTGCAGAGGGCCAGGAGTTGGACTCAGGGGTCCTCAGGGGTCCCTTCCAACTCAGCCTATTCTATGATTATATGATTTTATAATTCTGTGATGTGCAGCATCTACCCATTTATATTTCAGCCTTAGATGGGACTTGACATTTTAAGGGCTGTTGGGAAGAAGCAGCAGTCCACAGTGGAGCTTGGAAGGACTGCAGAGGAACTCTGCTGAGATGGATACAACTGCCCAGTCCCCTTCTAGCCCAGAGCTTCACTTGCTGCCTCTAGAAGTCAATCTCACACTCTTTTTCCAAAGCTGAGCCTATTGAGAGCACCAATTGCTGTGAAAATCCTTAAGCTACACTTGCAAGGAGGGTGTTTTTACCGTGGTTTGTTGAAGCAGGAGGTCACTGAGTGTGCACAGCCCTCTCTGAGCAGGGATGCTGTTAACAAGCAGCATCAGTGTTGATTTTAAGAATAACATATTCAGGTGCAATGGGCAGGCTAAGGGAACGTAACGTTGTTTTTCCCACAATTTGGCTAAAAGTGTCATAATTATGTCCATTACTTTATCAGAGTTGTTACCTTTGCAGTTGTAAACAAGAAAGGCTCGCCAATTTTCCACTCAATGGAAAAGTCCTGTATGCTTTGATAGCAATACCCCAGAGACAGCATATAATGGAAATGTTGTCATGGAATGCCAGCTCAAAAACAGAGGAAAATGGCTGAAGAATTAACTCTCAAAAGACATTTTTCTTTCCTGCTTTTCCTTTTCCTATTTTCCTATTTTCTTTTTAATTACTTTTTTCTCTCTTTTTCTTTCTCTTTAATAATATGCATATTAAAAAAGGGTTTCAATCTCAAATAGGCTTGCATGTGTTTTTTGCTATAATGTAAAATTAAGACATATAGCAAATCTGCTTTTCAATTGTCATTTCTCAGGTTCTTCCTGCTTATGTCTTCAATGTAACATTCTACGTAAGCAGAATAAAGCAGCTTGAGGAGCGTATCTACCAATTATTTTCTCTCCGTTAGATGAATGCTGTGTTGGTTTTATATATCTCTAGCTCAAATTGTGGTCTGCTTATGAGCCCTCATCTAGCAGTTCCTTGCCTTCTAAAGGGCAGGGTGGACAGAAAGGTCTTGGTAAGCTTGATTTCTGCTGCCTACATGTTGAGCTAGTGCCAAGGATGAAGCAACCTGTCACATTTAGAACCGTGTTTTGGTTGCAGTTCTTTGCCTGCAGTAGTGCAGAACCGTGTGGGGTTGACCAGTGTCACCTAAAAACTCCTTAAATCACATTCATTATTTGCTGACCAACAACAATTGATTATCTGAGACAAAGGTTAACATTACCCTAGACATTTGTGGTGTCTCTAAGGCTAATTCCTAGATTAAATCATAAATGTTTCTGCTCTGAGAGAAAACATTTATTCAAAGCTAGGAGAGCATGTATCTAATACAAACATGTCCCCAGGAACCACCATTTGAGCTATGACTGTTTGTACAGGTGTTTATTCTTATATTACTTAATCTTTTTCTAATTAATTTTTACTGGTCTTCCTCAGCAGTGTGTTCCTTGCAGAGCACACATGGAGCCTGTGGATACAGGCACCAAAGTGTTCAGCTAAGGACAAAGAAGAGAGGCAACATGTGCCTCTCCTCCTTTCCCAGTTTTGCATCCTGCTTATACCAGCTCTGGCCCTAACTGGACCCTCCCTTTGACTCACTAGTGTGGCATAAAGCTATGTAGGATTTGCTGTTGTTTATTTTCTTCCAGGTTGTTGAACTGAGGTGACTCTAGTACAAAGCCAGCATGTGAGTGCTGGTGTCACCATAAGACACAGAGAGAAGCTCTGTGGTGTCAGCGTTGTGAGAGATGGGTGGGACCTCCATTTTTGGGGTCACAAAGTGGTTATTTGACTCCCTGGGATTTGTGATACAAAATCCTTGGGGCAAAGGGATCAGAATATGAACATTCTCTGCCAGCACCTTCTGCAGGAAGCAACCTAGAACCAAGAAACATGGTGCATGAGCATCTCTTAAAAATCCCACCCCTGTTCCTCTGGCCAGGATGAAGGGATCCTGAACTTGCTTTGCTGACTAGGAGATAGAGATCTCTGGATTTTACTGACTCCCTCTTTTCCATATATTCCATTCCATCTAATAAGTACCTGACATATTACGCAGTGGCACTACACACCCTTTTTCCTGCCCCATGAATTTGCCTTTACCTTCAAAAACAAAGGTGGAGCATATTCATAGCCAAAGCTGCTTCATAACCACTGCTGCCTCTGTGATGTTGGATCTGTCCAATGGCTGTGTGCCAAGCCTACTGTGACAGGCCCTTAAGGCAAATAAGTGATGTATTTTTGGGTTGCAATCGCAGCCAGACATGACAAGAGTATCAGGTATGGTCCCAGACATGTGCAGGTGCAGAGCTGGCAGCATTGAGAGACTTACGAAATCAAACAGGAAGGTATGGATTTGCAATATTGAGTACAGGAATCTTAATAATGCATAAGCCTTTTTTTAGTCACTTAAACCTATCATTGGGTCAAGCCCTAAGCATCTCATTAAGTTGCAGTCATACAATCGGGAAGCTGAAGCAATGTCATGTAGAATCTCTGCCCCCACATTGTCTCACCTGAGCAACTACAGGAGTGCAGTGAGTCATCTTTAGCCACCTAAAAACTACTACTGCAAACTATTTCAAGGCTACTCAAAAAGTGTATGTTCATGACTGGCAAGTGATTGAAGAATTGACATTCTAATTCTCCCTAATTTTCATGAACATTCATTTACTGTTAGAGCAGGTGTCTGATTTCCTCAGATTAAATCAATTGATGTATTTAGACAAGAAAAAATCAACTATATGTGCTTTAGTTTACAGATTTTTATGTATTAGGAAGAAATCCTTTATTTAGTGGAAGTTGATTTTATGAAGAAATAAAAGTCTCCAAGTCTTTGGAAATAGCATTTTGTTATTAAGAATTACGAATAACAAACAGCTGCAGAAAGGAAGACAGAATCTTCCATGTTGCCCATGTTGCCTCTCTTCTTTGTCCTTAGCTGAACACTTTGGTGCCTGTATCCACAGGCTCCATGTGTGCTCTGCAAGGAACACACTGCTGAGGAAGACCAGTAAAAATTAATTAGAAAAAGATTAAGTAATATAAGAATAAACACCTGTTTATATTGGGAAATTAGTGGAAGACTGCAGTCAGGGAAGAGAGAGGCTGGGTGTAGGATTAATAAATTAATTCCTCTAACTCCTCTACCACAAATAAATCGGTGGAACGTGGTTGACCCTCATTCTGGTTGGGAGAGACAGCAGGCAGTAATCCTATCCCCTCCACCCATTTTCTTTTGCTCCCAGTTACACCCTTGACCCCAGAGAGGAGAAGCCCTGACTCACCCTGCCCTGCGGCTGCTGCCAGCCCAGGCAGAGCCAGACACAGGAGCATCACCTCCACTTTCAGCTCCCAGACTGAACTGCATCTTCTACATTTACGTGTTTGCTGTTATTCCTACATGCTCTTCCCAACCTTCATTTTTCAAGGAAGTGGATATATTCTGATCTAAATGATTTTGGTGTATTTAATAACACTTCCATTCATTTTCTGCTTGCTAAATGAACTTGCTAATCAGTATGTCCAGTGCAGGAAAGTGTTCAAGGGGGATGTTCACACTAGAATGACATAAAAGAAATAGAATGTATGCAAGAAGTAATTTACATGGGCATATTTTTAGGTTATTTTTTCTCCTGTTACAAATGATGAAGTGATGCTATTTAGACTAATTGAGTATGATCACTGATTTTTTCATTTTCATGAAATCTGAGGTGATAAAATATACCTTCTGTGAAATAAAACCATGAACTGCAGATACATCTCA